CTTCCAATATGGCGGAAATAAAGACAGATGATTAGGTGAACCACACACGTTTGAAAAGCATTATGCAGGGTACACGTATTTGGTTGCCCAACATCGAAGGATTTTTTACGTCTTTGGGTAGGCTACTGGAAAGTGCAGAAGGGCAAAGGAACACTGCGTCGTACGACTCTGCTGAATTTTTTAGTCGCCGTTTGCGAGAAAACGAAAGAACTCTTGTCACTTTGGCTCTAAGAATAGAAGAAGCCTTCCCAAATGAAGTTGAGGTGATCTCTGATCTAAACGAACTTGTTTTTATTATGAACGAACTTTCAAGGGACTTTGACAGAATTGTCGAGGACTCGGAACGTTCTACGTTTAGTACACCAGCGTCCCTAGACGACCGTCTTTCAGCTGTGGCGAGGAACGGTTTAGTTGGCAGACCAAGGCTACAGATCTTACAGGAACAGCTGCAAACTCTGCACGATGACGCCAGTTTTCGTTGGGCTGATATCGGAAGAATTCTTGGAATCTCCGAGAGAACTTTGCGCCGTCGAAGACATGAATTTGGGTTGCCAGTTGGTGTGGGGGAGGATTTCAGTGATGTTTCCAACGATGACCTTGACGAGCACGTAAGGGAAATTCTTGAAGTGACACCAAGCGCTGGTCAACGCCTGGTTGAAGGGGGCTTGAGGCAGAGAGGCTTACGAATCCAGCGCCATCGTATTCAGGAGTCTATTCGAAGAGTGGATCCGGTTGTTAGCACTTTAAGAGCAGCACAGCAGATAATTCGTAGAGTGTACAGTGTGCCATGCCCCAATTCGTTATGGTAAAGTAAAAGAATACATTACCTCTTTTATAACGAGTCTCTGTTTCACGGGGTCTCCTTGTTTAACAGGCCCCCTTTAACAATATACCCACCCCTCTTTTCAAAACAGTCAGGCACTTTATTATTTCTCTAAGGGCAACACCCGCCGGAGAGGAGGACTCCCATTTAAAAAAGGAGGGGGGTTCTCTTCATACTTTTTAGGGTTTAAAAATGCGGGTTTGGTACCTCTCAGGGTGTTCAGCCTCAAACGGTCCATTGGGAGAGCTTTTGCAGTATCTTTTAGGGTATTGAGCCGAAAAAAAAATGACAGTTAGGAGATAATGTGTTGTTTCAGAATTGTTACCTCTTAGGGGTGAAAAACATTTCAAGCTACGCACACAAATCAGGATCCTGGTACCTCTAAGGGGTTCTTTTAAAAATTTCCGACGAGCACTCCTGTTCTTTTTATATGAGAGTCCTCCCTCCTCTCTCTCAGCAGCAACACTGGTGTTAAATCCGTGATACAAGAGAGGCGAGGCTGTAATTTTGATGCATGAACATTAATGTCAATTCAAATTCTGATATATCTCATGCTTTGAAATACCTCCCCCAATTCTATTTGGACTCCTCACTAGTCACCCTAACCCAGCTTCCCAGCCCCCATCTTCCCCCGATATTATGCTGAAAATTCCTGACTATCATACCTGTTATTCATGGTCAACAAATGCCTCTTGTTGTTGTCATGATTATTACTATTTTATTTGTTGTTGTTGTTGTTGTTGTTATTATTATTATTATTATTATTATTATTTATCATTACCAATATTACTCATGTAGGCAGATTTTTAAACTTTTTTTACCTATTTTAACCAAACCTACATGTGATAGTGCAGTGTAACAATCTCTGTTGTGTCCAACAGGCACATTGATGGCAATCACAAACTAATCCAGCCATACCGAATTGTCATTCATGGTGGTTTAGATGGTTTTTCAAGAATGATAGTATTCCTACATGCATCAACCAATAACAGGGCTTCAACTGTACTGCAGTATTTCCAGTCAGCTGTTGAGCACTACAATTTACCATCAAGAGTTCGCAGTGATCTTGGGATGGAAAACATAGAAGTTGCTCGCTTCATGCTGCAAGAAAGAGGTTTAAATAGAGGCAGCCACATCACTGGAAAATCCGTTCATAACCAAAGAATAGAGCGACTCTGGTGTGATGTCAACAGGGTTATTGTGAGCCGCTTTTTGAACATTTTCCTCTTCCTTGAGCAGAGTGGAATTTTAGATCCAACAGACGAGGTGCATCTGTTTTGTCTTCATCTTGTCTACATTCCACTGATTAATAATGCAATCAACCAATTTATCGGTCAGTGGAATAATCATCCTGTAAGCACACAATGCAATTTCTCTCCCAATCAGCTCTGGATACAAGGAATGTTAAATTCCAGAAATTCTGGATATCAGGTTGTTACAGATGTGACTGCCAGAGAGGCTGTTAATTTTGACCATTATGGGATCGATGAAGAAGGGCCTGTACCTGATGTGCAGAGTGACTATGCAGTTTCGGTACCTGACACAATTACTACTCTGACACATAACCAGGAATTGTCACTGCAAGAAGCTAGAGATGCAGTCTTCCAAACTGGTGATCATGATGGAATCATAGCCTACCAAGTGGTATTGCAGATTGCTTCTTTTTATTTAAACTGCTGTTCATGATTTATAGTATTGACTTCATGTACATGGAATATGAACTCTAAATACAGTTACTATAAGTTGTTTACTATTAAACTTGAGATCTAGCCTTGATTTGCAGTCACTCAAAGCTGTGGCAACATTGCATGCGTAATGGCTATTGCAGAGAAGTTTATACTCTTATCAATGAGCTCTTGTAAGCTCTTATTGTTACTGTTGAGTTTGTCATGCTGTTAACGAAACAGTCAATTTCCTGAGTAACTTGAAACTTGAACTTTGAACATGGAACATTTTCTACTATAAGTAACCTACATAGAATGGAAAATTTTCTTGTTTTATATGAAGGGTCCACTGGCACATTTTCCTTGACCATAGCTTAGGAAATTAATAAATTGATATTTTGCATTAATTTGAGCAGTAGAAATTTCTAGCACCAAAGGAGCAAAGACATTCCCGTAAACATAAAATCATGGGTAATTGTAACAATTACATAGATTTTTTTCCTTAAAACCTCAAGTTATGCCCTTTCATTCAATCAAACTCTCTTATTTAATTCCTTAGTGATTATGATTCATGTGTTCTGTTCTTCATGTCCTATGCAATATGCAGAAAAAATGGTTTGTGGGTCCAAGAATAACACAACTGTTAACTGAACTTAATATACCAGTAAGTAAGGAGCATCCTTTCATGCCTATATCTTGCCAAAACCAAGTTTGCCATATGAAATACTCTTATTAAGGTAATCCTTGAATACACTGTAATCGTTGTGCACTACTGGGATAGAAAGTTCCAGAGTGCAAGTGCTGGACTCTGCCAAAACTTTGCTGGGATGATTTTCAAGGTACTTCACGAGTAACTTGGTGGTTACATCTGGGGGTAGTGATGGACATCCAGTCCAAAATAGTACCATGTCTTCTAATGTTTCATTGTTATCAGCACCATCTGTTGTTGAAACAAATAATTTCAGTAAGATTTTCTTGTTTGTGACCCAGCTAACCAGGGAAGTGCACTGTATTCATAATTTAACTGCCTTCCAATTTTGGGGGAATTTGTTTGTCATGTAAATACATTATCAATTTTCTTTACAAGTCCTTGATCCCATGTAAATCATACTTTTCTTTGTTATGAGCCTCTTCACTAAATCACTAAACTACAGTCTGTATCATTGTAGAAAACCATCAACATTTACACCAACAGAGAATCCCAATACAGTTATCACTGAGTATGACAACCATCATCATCACCATCATCAATTTTAGCTAAGTGTCAGGGTTATTAGGTTATTGTATAAAGATAGTCATACTGTTAGGATCACCTTTCTCATGTAATTCATCTATATATTGGAGAAAAAACTGTTGAGCTGCTTGGTTTACAGGATCAGCAGTTTCTCTCCACTCCAAATGTAACTTGAGCATCATAATATCAATTTTGCCAGTGTGTGGAGGAAACACACGTTGCTGAACGTCAGGAAGTTTCCCAAGTAAATCGAGGAGTGTTGTTTGTGACACTTTAACAGAAGCCAGTCCCTTCCTCAAGTCATCTAAGGCAGGGATGCGCTTTGTGATGACTTCATACAACAAAATGCACTCATATGCTAGGTGTCTTCTCTCCTCTGTTACACTTATATGAGGGTAGCCAGCAGATGTCAGCAGCTCTGAGATATTCATGGAGCTTGATGGATTGGTGAAATCTGCCAAAGATTCTTTTTTGCATTGAAGAAGCTGTTCACAGAGAAACATTAAATAAACAAACATTACCATAACTGCACTAAAAGTTTAGTGCATGAAAAGTATTACAAATATTGTAAAAATTGGACTTTGTTGCAAAATGATACATTACAGACAAATCCTGGCATTCGTTTACTGTGTGCAAGACTGTTCTTTGAATACAAGTACCGGTAATAGGATTCTCTTAATGGGCATCTTGCTTCTTCCGACACTAACTATGACACATTGCACCTTATTAATGTACACCTTGTTTTGACTAATGAAGTCACCAAAGACAATATGAACCTAAACACCCAACATGACCTTGCTATCTATTATAAAATCTATGTTCAAGAGACTGCATATAAACATAGTTCTCTTGTTTTATTATACAAATGCATGCACTCTTATGGTCCACAATACATCAAGAACTTTTTTCACACTCGTCATACAAAATATAATTTAAGAAGTAGGGGCATTAATCTGGAACAACCTGGCTATAATAATAAATTCTTTCATAATTCGTTTACCTATAAAGTTAGTCGCCTATGGAATAAACTACCTGCATATATTAAAACATCAAGTAAATTTAGTGACTTCAGTAGTTACCTAAAGGCTTTTGACTTCAGCAAATTAGGGTCCAGCTGTCATTGTAACTCTTGTATATAGATTTTTTTAATTAGTATTTATTTTCCATTTGTTTCCTAATAGTACATGTATTTCCTACCTTTCTCTAGTACCTTAAGTAATTTTAGTATCTACAATTGGATTCTATTTACATTTTTTGCACACTTATTGCTCTGTTCTTGATATATTTTTAATATATTTTATATAGTTTTACTTATAGATAGTTTTATAGTCTTATGTTTTAAACATGAGCCTCTGGCTCGGGCAAAAAATAAATAATTTATGACCTTCTACATCATTTATATTAAACTGAAAGAAAAATACTGAAAGTTAACTAGGCAAATGACACCACATACACTGTTTTATGCCTTGACACTGGGTGATGAGCTAGGATGGTCAACTGATAGTGACACATTACAGTTTTCATAAAATTGGCAATTAAGATGGAGAAAGACAAAAGAAGCAAACCAAATTATCAGAAATATTACTAAATATTATTCATCTGATGTATCCCAACATTATTTACCCTAGTGAAATACATACAAACACACCTGTATGATTTTCCTCAAGAAGTATGTTGATGGCTCTCCCCAAATCTGAACCAGCACTTTCCAGAGCCTGTTCAATTCGCTCCTGCTTTAAGTTAGGAAACATTTCTACCAGGACATCCAATTCCCTCCTTTTGGTCAATTCATTTGATGCTTCAGACTGACTCATGATATTTGTGGTATCTACATTACTAGAAGGTTGGTAAACATCAGAGGATGGCATCTTTTCTACCACAAGCAAATCTACATCAGTTTGCTGTAAGCTTGATGGTGGAGCAACGTCTTCATCTGTACAACTGGGACCTGGTTCAACAATAGGATTTAAGACAGGGAGCAATGTACTTCCTTCCAAGTAATCCCTGATGTCCTTGTCACTAGAAACCTGACTGTCATCATCTTCACTCTGAAATAATATTATATACTTATATTAAAAACAATTATTTAGATGCTAGAAAAATAGTAGTTTGATCTTTAAAAGACTTCATAACACATTAAATGGATGTTAGAACTTTAAGCTGGCCAAGAGGGAGCATTGCGTTCATTCATCTTTCATACAGTATTCATAGGAATGAAAAGTCAAGGAACCTTTGTTAGAGAGAGTAGCATGTTATCCCTTGCCATGTATTATAGAGAGAGTATAATTAATTGTTTACCAGATAGCAAGGAAGATCAGACAAAAAGAAAGAGATGCTCATAAAATATTTCCATTCCCAGGAGAAGTGCCACAATATTAATTTTATATCATGCCAAATACGGTAAAGAAAGCTGCTGTGTACTGTATACTGTATTTCTGCATGATACGACAAAAAGTAAACATTTCAGTTGCTAAAAATTATTAAGCAATCACCTCTTTAGAACTCAGAACTTCCAATGCTCGTATATACAAGGGTCCCTGCCCTGATATGTGTCTTATTACACGGGCATTCCTCTCTTGGCCTCTTGGTACTTGCACAGGCACAATATGGGAGCCAGAGCTCTTTACAAATTCAAACCTAATCAAAAAATTATAAAAGAAACTACTCAACCAGAGTGAAACAGTTTGATCACTCTCATATTTTCTCTCGTAATACCGGATAGCTAAGAAGCAGAATATATGGTTTATTATTTAGTTGTCCTGTTAAATAATCTGCGTTATTATATGGCTAGCTCCATGAGTGGGCAAGATGATCGAATCCTGCACTGTGATTGGCTACTTGAGGGGGCAAGATGGAGCTAGGTTGCCCGCTTGGGACTACCCGCTGTGTCCCGCAAGAAAAATTTCCCTGAAAGTCATATAATAAATCCTTTATTGACCAAGCTTGTTCGGTCAAGGTGGCTGGATATTGGCCAAGTTCTTTTTTTGGCTCGAGCTCCATAAACACGCAAAAAAAGAACCTGGCCAATATCCAGGCATCTTGACCAAACAAGCTCAGTCAATAACCCATATTTCTTCTGCACAATTAGCAAGAACTGGGCTTTTTTTACAATTACTCGCTATTTTTTAAAGTTTGTTTTGTACTGTAGTTTCAAAC